TCATGTTCAGCTTCCTGCCTATCCAATTTAAGTATGCTTTTTAGAATATTTATACAGTATAGCTAAATTTAGCAATTCCTAGGTGCAGGTTTTTGGCAGTGTTCAAGAGCCTTTTGTTACAAACTGTATTACCTGACAGAGCTGTAGCATTTGGACAGGGATGTGTTACCAGTGGTGTAAATTTTTACTGTGATAGAACCAGATTAACACAATCACTTGGTTTCATTGCAGATTGGCAAAAGAAAAAATTATGTATGAAAAAGAAGCAAGACAACAAGAAGAAAAGATTGAAAAGATGAAAGCTGAAGCATGTGATGATTATGGGATTAAGAAGCAGGTAAACTATCCCAGAACTTGTATAAAATCCTTCTTTTTTTTTCCATTTAATCATAGTCATCTTTAAATAGAAGAATCTGAGCTACCTGTTTCCAGACTCCTGTTATATAAATGCTGGACTAAAATGCTGTTAATTACTAAAGTCATAACAAGCAGCTGTAGAAACTTCCTTAAACTGTTTTAAGTGTGAGGAGACTGGATATGGATTACTAAGCACTGGGTATCAGGATGTCAGTCACTCACTAGCAGTGTGTCTGAGGCCATCAGGAGCTCTGTCAGGAATTCCAGGAACCTGTAGTAAGCTCATGGTCTGGATGGACGTATGTACACTAGGTAAGTATACAGGTAAGTGCAAACGTTACAGCAAAGTCAGAGTCTTTTATCTAGTTAATATGAAGGTGAAATGTCTCAACTCTCAGAGTATACTGATATCCTTTCGGTAAAATCAAGGAGAGCAGTGGGTGTGCAGCTGCTCCCAGGAGCTGCCAGAGTTTGTACTGAGGTCACTGACTAGGAATGGGTGTTCTGCACTTACATCTGCTCAAGGGTATGGTTTAGTGTCACTGTTACAGTGTTTTCATTCATTATTTCATTTTGTCATGGAAGGTTTCCCACAGGGGTGGTGGTTGCAGGCAGTTGGTAGAATCCCTTTTGGAAGGAGAAGTGTCACATGTCTTTCTCAGTGGGAGAAGGTTTTGGTTTGGGAGATCTGTGTTTAATTCTTTACAGAACTGTGCAATGTCTGTTTTTCACTATGGTCTTTATATTCTTTCAACTATGTTAAAATTTTTTCCCAAGTATTTCCCAGAGGTTTTGTCTCAAATCTTAACAGAAACCAAGACGGTAAATTAAAGTTATTTTCATTTGTTTAACAGTCCTGGTGACCTTGTGTTATAAAGCATAAGCTACTGGTGTCCTAGCTTCATTTTTAAACAAGACAGGAGAGAACCCTTTTAGAACAGCCTAAACCAGCTTTTCTAGTATGTTTATGTGTTTCTGTCCTGCCTTGCTCACCTTATGGCATAGGAAAGAAATACAAACAAAGAATTTATATACAGATGAAGAATTGTATTCATACAGCAGAGCTGTCTTCTGCCTCACTACAGGCTGAGACTGGAAGATCCCACAAATCCAGGAGTCTTCCTGGAGATCTGCAGGTGCTAACAAGGACTAATGAATGCAATTCCCATTTTTAGTGTCTCCCATTCATCAGGTTATTTGACTGCACCGATGTATTTCCACAGTGACCTGCAAGGTATCATCAAAGTCAAAACTAGCAATGGCTGTGAACTTCTGCTGAGAAAAGAAATGTTACATAGTGCTTGGAGGTGTTCTCAGTGACAAAAGCCCTCGCAAAAAACAGTCTCGGTTTGCTCAGGAATTGCCTCATCTACTTGGGAAACAATCAGTTCCTCCAGTGACACCTTTTCTTGTTCTTTCAGTGCACTTTGCATTCTGGAAGTTGCTAATATTTTAGGTTATTAAAAATTTGGAGTCATAGAAAGAATGTGCATATGTTTTACAGGATCAAACCTTATTCTAAGAGAGTTTGCTCAGAACTAGATTTCAGACAGAGTTAAAACTTTGAGATATTTTTCAGGAAAAATATCTGTAGTTACACATTTTAAGAATTGCTTTTAGATAATTTCTCATCTGAATAACTCTTAATACAGTTGTGGTCTTCATTTTGGTAATGAAAAGTAACATGTAGGGGATTGAATTCGGTCATTTGAGGCTAGGAGAACTCTGACTGGGAGCAGCAAGTCCTGGAGTTCTACCTCCCTGTGGGTTTTGCCATAATGAAGTTTCTGCACAGTTGTAACAATTATCAATAGATTAATACTTTACACTGAATTTCATAACAATAATTTAACAGACAGTTTTCACACAGTGTCACTCCAGTGCAGACTAATGACAGGAACCAGCAGCATTCTGTATTTCTGTGGTTGTTGATGGGTCTTACATGTAGATAAATATCCTTTCCCAGCTCATGCTTTTATCCTGAGACCTGCGAGTTTGGGAGAACCCTGAGGTATCTACTCCCTGTTTCCTCTCTGTAGGATTGTAGGCACACTCTGTTGGTTTTGCTGTCAGCATTTTTACTGATAAGTGATAAGTTTTCATGTTTTCAAAAGTTGTTCTACAATTTCAAATTACTTGTTGAGTAATGTCATTTCCAGGTGAAATAAAAAATCCAGTGGATTTAGCCTAGAACTTAACCTCTGGTGTACTTGAAAGTACATAAAAGCATAGAAAATACATATTGATAATACACTTTCGTTTTTTCAAGTACTAATGAAAGCTGCAATATTCCACTTGCTGTGTTGAGTGAAAGGTAAAGTATCTCCTGAAACAGAAACAAAAATTCATTTGGAAACAGCAGATACTGTTCTGAAAAGTAATTTCCACACCCCCACACTGTTGTTTCAAAGTTTCACTCTTCTCACCTGTCAAGTAGAGTAAGATTAGATGAAATGTAAAGTTCATGTCAGTCTCATTATTTTCATAATTATTTTTCACCCCTAAGAATTTTGCTTAATAACCTGAACTCTAGCTCTGGATGCTTAGGTAAAGAGGCAGTGGACGTGCTAATTAAGGGTCAAATGCTCCCCTTTATGTGTTTGGGCAATATCCTTAATGAGCACAGTTTGTGTCTTTAAAAGCCAGGAACTTGGAATTCTTTGTGCGAAGGACAGAATAATATTCCTGACACAGAATTGGTCTTAAAAGTTTGGTTTCAAAGTTTGAAAGGCGGTAGAGCTAATGAAAACAAGTTTCCTACAATTTTTGTGTGCACTTGGGGGTTTTTCTTCTGTCCATATTCACCTTAGAGCTGTATCTCATCTGAGTCCTGCCCAGCTCCCTCCTACATCACCTATCCTGTACTGCTCCCCATGTCCCACACCACCATCCTGGCCCATCACATTGTGCCTTAGTATTCTATGGTTAGTGCTGAGGTCAGAAGTAATATGCTGGTGTGGATTTAAGTTACAAATATGTTGATTATGCAACCAGTAGCCTCATGATTTGTTAGCCTATTTATTTTGGGCCACAATCTCTTACTCAGTGGGTTTACAAATTTTGGAACCTTTGCTGCTCATCCTACTTAGAGATTCCCTCTTTCCTTTTAGGTCTCTGTCCTTCCATTAGATATGGATATAATTAGCCAGTGGATTCCAAGTGTTTCACAGATTTTCTGATGGAAATTTGTTCAAACCAGTAGCACTTGTCTTAGCAAACAATTATCCATATGTCTTTTCCTCGAGGATTATCTGTGCAGCAGTCAAAGGACAAGTGATTATGAGACAGTATTTAAAACCTAGAACATATATTCATCTGTGTGCATGTAGTTGGTACATACGTGACTCATTCATCATGATTTTTAGCCTCTCCTGTTTAGAACACCACTCCTCCCCCAATGCCACTCTACCCTGTGACCCAGTAGTTTCTGAAGCTAATAAAACTGATGTCCCTGTTAATGCCGTTCGTGTCAGGTTCAATAAAATTTCTTCCTCTGACAGAACACTTGGTGTCGACACTCCTATAAAGTAATATTTTTGTATTTTCAAATTATCAAAAGTTTCTTTCAGTCTAAGTGCTCGTGTGATCAAAAAAGTAGAGAATCTGCCTCATGTAAGCAGTTCTGATCTGCCTGAAGTTAAATAATAGCTAATAATAGCTGTTATTATTTAATTCTGTTAATTAACTAGTTAGTTCAAATAATAGCTTTGAACTTTCACTGTGGGGCTTGCTAAAACTCCAAGCTGCTAATGTTGGAAACCTGGACATTAACCCCTCAGCTGTTTCTCACAGTGGTGTTTGGCCTCTGTCCTTATTTTGAGTGTGTAAAGTAACTGGTTTTAGTTATGGTGTCCTTCCACTTCAACAAATGGTGGGTGAATCTGTGTGTTTACATCTGTTCTGCTTTTATCTGTCACTGCAGTCTGGAATTTATGGAAAACAGGTTCAAGCGCTCCCATAATTCCTTGTGCACACAAGTTCTTTTGACACCTGATCCAATTCACAAGAAATCCACTCCATGTTTAGTGACAGGCTGTAAACACCCCAACAGTTAGAGAGCTCCAGCCCATCTGAGAAAACTGCTTGATTTTGAAATTGGCCAAAATACCTTCAGTCTTGACACTAGAAATGTGATGGGTGGAAGAGATTTGTTTGACTGGCGTTTTCAGTACACTCAGAGCCAAGGGAACATCATCCTCACTGCACCCACGACAACTCTTTTGCTCCTCTGTGCTCCTACAACAACTTTATTTTGTTTCTCTCTGTACATATTTTTTTAGATGCACTTCATTTACTCCAGATTTTTAATACTTCTCTTTGGCACTACAGTTCACAGAAACCTCACAGATACAGTTCTTTGCAAAGTTAGATCAGCTTCATGTTATAACTTTCTTTGTGACACACTATCCTGGTTTCAGCTGGGACAGAGTTCATTTTCTTCCTAGTAGCTGGTACAGTGCTGGTGTTTTGGATAAGAATAACATTGATAACACACTGAGGGTCTGATTGTTGCTAAGCAGTGCTTACCCTAAGCCAGGGACTTACCAGTGTCTCATGCTCTGCCCGTGAGCAGGTGTACAAGAAGCTGCAGGAAAGCACAACCAGAAGAGCTGATATGGAATATCCAAAGGCATATTCTGTACCAGAGAATGTCATGCCCAGGATATAAAATTGTGGGAGCTGCTGTGAGATCCCACCTGCTGCTCAGGGGTAGAATGGGTCAGCAGTTGGTGAGCAATTGCATTGTGCATCACTTGCTCTTCTTGGGTTCTTTTACTCTCTCTCCCTCTCTTTATTTTTATGACTAGATTTGGTTTCAGTTATTAAGTTATTCTTATCTCAACCCACGAGATTTACCTTTCCTTCCTGATTCTGCTCCCCACCATGGCAGTGTGGGCAGTGAGTGAGCAGCTCCCTGCTGCTTAGTTGCCAGCTGGGGTTAAACCACAGGCGTTAGCAGCTGGAGCTTGAGTCACCCCAATGCTGGTCACTGGAATTTGAGTGGCTGCAGTGTGTGTCATAGGGGTTTGAGTGGTTGTGTCAACCCTTAGAGGTCAGTCAAAAAGTCTCATTGAATTCTGAAAGAATTTGGAGACCAAACACCTTAAAACATCGGAAGGAATCTATGAGGATCATACAGTTCAACTCTTGGCCCTGCACAGGACACCCCAACAGTGCACCCTGTGCCTGGGAGCATTGCCTAAACACTCCTTGAGCTCTGTCAGCCTTGAGGCTGTGACCACTGTCCTGGGGAGGTGTTCAGTGCCCAAACACCTCTGGGGGAAGAACCTTGGTCCTGATATCCAACTTAAACCTCCCCTGACACAACTTCATGCTGTTCCCTTGGGTCCTGTCACTGGTCAGAGAGAGCAGAGATCAGTGAGGAAGTTGTGTACAGTTTATCTAATTAATTGAGCTTTTAGCTTTGCTTTATTATGTACTTTGTAACAGTGATTGATCTCTCTGGGATTATGAGCATTACTTGAAAAAACATGGTTTATGCAGAAGTTAGATAATACTGGTTCCACAAGATTCCTGTTCTAGTCCCCAACTCTTTGTACCTACTGAATGTAGTTCTAGGATTTATCCTAGGATTTTATTTATTATTGCATAACTGCAGGGAAATGTAGATAAAACTCAGGTACCCCTTCAGATCTCAGTCAGATGCTGGTTTTGGACAGAATGATCGGGGTGGATTTGTTAATTTCTTCAAGCAGCCAAGACTGCAGTTTACAGATTCTAGATTTGTATCTTCCAGATATAAATCCCTCCCCAGATCACTTATCCTAGTGGCTTATATCAAATAGGTTACTACTTTGCATATCACCTTCCAGCTTCCCAACACACAAATAATTAGCAGTTCTGGCCCAAGGAAATGATCACGGGCTATTCTCACTCCTCCAGGTATTCTTTATAGGATAAATCTCTACTACATAAAGCAGAAGGCATCATTCCATGCAGTTTATGGCACTCCTCATTCTGTGGAGGTTACAGACCTTTATTTCTTCATTCACTGGTGAAAGTGTAAAATTAGAAGCAGATTTTTTCTCTCAAATTTGACTTGAGCTAAGAACTCAAATATATGGCACTTAAACACAAAGTGATGATGTCTTACTGCACCAGGACTTCCTGAGGGCATAAAATCCATCCTTGGCTATAGAATTTAAGGGTTGGAATGGACCTTACCGATCCTCTAGGCCCAACCCCCTGCCCTGGGCAGGGACACCTCACTAGATCAGGTTGCTCAGGGCCTCATCCAGCCTGGCCTTAAGCACTGCCAGGGTCGAGGCAGCCACCAGATCCCTGGGCAACCTGTGGCAGTGTCTCACCACCAATGTCTCAGCCTAACATCTGTTTTACAATGACCCTTTGGTACAGCAGAATTCATGCCAAAAGAAAATGCAGCATTTGGATGACAGAATGGAGTAAGCCACTTAAAGGGAATGGATGTTATCCTGGATGTAGGAAAGGTTTCCTATTTAAATACCTAACAGGTTTTAATTTCTAAATAGATTTAACATTGCTGAACAACTCTGCACACCTTTTCTCCTCAGTGGTTGGATTTCAGATCCAGAAATGTTCCATGAAATAAAAGTCCCCTTGCTTAGAACTAAAGTTGTTTTCTTTAGGAGGCAGCAGGATTTTCAGATTCAGTGGGGTGCCAGTTTAGTAATTTTGTTCAAAGTGCATGGTGAGAATAATCTTTCTCCTAAAATAAAGCACAAGGATAAGTAATAACTTTTTATGCATGATAAGCATCAAAAATATGAGCCTGCTGGTCTTTGCTTTTCATTTTTCTTTACCTTTGTCTTTCAGTCAGAGCCTCCTGCAGTCTGCACACAATGTGATCAATAACTCAATAACTTTTTTCATGCAGTAATTATCTCTACGGGGTATTATCTGAACACTGTTTTTCTTTATTACCCAAAAGATGCAGGAGATACTTATATAACCAGCTGATCCCATTTTGGATGAAGCTGCTTCATGACAGCAGGAGAAAGTTTGTTTTAAATAGACTTTTAAACAAATGCTGCATGGAAAGCTTACCAGGCAGTACTTTTTTTTTTCCTAAGGGAAAGATTATTCTAAATACTCTCTTGCATTTAATACTTTGTATTTAATTAAGCGCAAAGTAAATGGAAGTGTCCTGTAAATTAAGCAAGTTTTAAGCAATTACACTGAGTGTCTTTTAATAAAAAAAGCCTACTCAGAAAATAGGTGCAGCTGTTCTGAAGTTTGTGGATGATGACTGGACTGCTGGTTTTTCTGGGTAAAAAACTTGTCTCAAAAGATAATGCTTTTGTCTGGAACACACTTCTGATTTCATTGGCTTCTACTTTTCTCAGATCGAGATCCTGCAGGAGTCGCGGATGATGATTCCGGACTGCCAGCGCAGGCTAGAAGTGGCGCATGCAGAACTTACTCAGCTACTAGTGAGTATAGCACCATCCCCTGCTCATCCAGAAGTGCTGCTGTTCCTGGGTGAACCTGGGTAAACAGGGTTGTCTGCAGAGCAACTGCAGCAAACTAAAACTGGATTGAAGGATGACTTCTCATAGGTCCTGGGACTTAGCATCCTATAACACACCAGTATTTCACTCTAGGTAACTGTCTCTGCAGACTTGGCAAAGTCTGACTTGACTGCAGTCTTTGAAAGCTGTGTGTGCTGGAATAGTGAAAGTTGTCTTTAATGGCATGTACACTCAGCACACACTTAGATACCAGAGTGCAAGAATGGACTCTTGAGTTCCTGTGTGAGTTCCACGATCAGAAAAAAACAGTTCACCCACTTTACAGAATCACATAATGGGTCAGGTTGGAAGGGACAACAGTGGGCATTGGTCCAACCTCCCTGCTCAAGCAGGGCCATCCTGGAGCACAAAACCCACTTTTTATGAAGCCACTTAAGCTAGTTTTGTAGGTATTGTAGAGCTATATAATATGATGGTAGCGAACTGAACTAGCCAAAACACTTTGCTCACTGCTTTTGTTATGCTGTGGACAAGAAAAAAGTCACATGAGTCATTGTTGAGTGCTGCTTTATATTTTGTTAGGGAAGAGAGCAGTAGTGCTACATTTTTATGGTATGAATACTTGCAGGAATGAAGAGTATCTGGTACAAATAGAACTATACTAATTTTGAAGACAGTCATGGTTTTTTTTACAAGCTACCTTCTCACCAGGAATTCAGCCTCACGTGTAAATGCTGTTGTGAGGCTAGAAATACACACTCTAATTTAAGCCCCAGATATACTGATGGCTAAAATGCAGCACTTTTTCAATGGAAAACTCAAGGTAGTTTGACTCTGCTGTTTTCCAAAATAAATGCTCAGTACCTGGCAGGATTTAGGGTCCTTTTGCCATTCAACTAGTTACTTAGCAGTTAGCAGGTCTAGATTTCAGTGGCTTGCAGAAATGGTGTTATTGATCCATAGTTGCTGTGTTAACTTAAAACAAGGAATGGGACAGTTACTGTTGTTAAGAATTGGAAATTCTTCCAAGAGTTGCTTTCTCTGCTTAGCTCACCTTCAACACTGGTACTAAAATTTATTGTGTCATAGTATGTTTTTTTCAATTGTCAGTCTACTTCAGATTTTTCCAAAAAGTACTGAGGTTTGTTCTTACTGGTTCCTTGGTTTTAAATATTTAACACAATAAAACAGAGGTATTCACAGGTCAGATGTACTTGCACAGGACAGATGTTGTCCTGGGCCTTAAGTAGGACTAAAGAATTTAACTGTGCTGAGTCATGTAGAACTTGTGTTTTCACAAATGATGTAGCACTCATTTTGGAGAATGGGTTGGGTGGGAAGGAATGTTTAAAGGTCATCTAGTCCTACCACTCTGCCATGGGCAGGGACATCTACAACTACAGCAGGTTGCTCATAGCCCTGCCCAACCTGGCATTGAATGTTTCCAGGGATGGGGCACCTAGCACCTCTCTGGGCAACCTGTCCCAGTGTTTCACCACCCTCATTGTAAAAAACTTCCTTATATCTAGTCTGAATTGACCCTATTTTGTTTTAAAACCGTCATTGCTTGTCCTGTCACAAAAGACCCTGCTAAAAAATCTATCCCCATCTTGTTTGTAGGCCCCTTTAAGTACTGGAAGGTGCTGTAATGTCTCCTCTGAGCCTTCTCTCTTCTAGGCTGAACAACCCTAACTCTCTCAGCCTTTGGTCACAGCAGGGGTGCTCCAGCCCTCTGATCATCTTCGTGGCCTCCTCCGCGCCCAGCAGGATCATGTCTTTCCTGTGTGGGGAATGCCAGAGCTGGATGCAACACTCCAGGTGGACTATCATGAGAGCAGAGTAGAATCCCCTCCCTCACCCTGATGCCCATGCTGCTTCAGGATGTGATTGGCTTTCTGGGCTGCCAGTGCACATTGCAGCTCATGTCCAGCCTCTCATCCACAGCACTCGCAAGTCCTTCTTGGCAGTACTGCTCTTCATCTGGTCATCCCCCAACCTGGATTGGTACCAGTGGTTGACCTAACCTTGGTGTAGCATCTTGCACTTGCCCTTGTACCTCCTGAGCTTCTCATGGACCCACTCCTAGAGCTTGTCCAGGTCTTGTCCTTCAGGTGTGTCACTGCACCACTCAGCTTGGTGTTGTCTGCAGATTTGCTGATCCCATTTTTATGTCCTTAATGAACATACTAAATGACACTGATCCCAGTACAGAACCCTGAGGGATGCACACCACTTGTCACCGATGTCCTTGCAAACATTGAGCCATTGACGAGTTCTCTGGCTGTGACTATCCAGCCAATTCTTATCCACTGAACAGTCCAGCTTGGAGAGGAGGATGTTGTGGGGCACTGTGTCCAAGGCTTCACAGAAGTCTAGATAAAGGACATCTGTAGCCCTTCCCTTGCCCACTGATGTAGTCATCCCATCATAGAAGGCCACTAGGTTGGCCAGGCAGGAATTGCCCTTGGTGAAGCGGTGCTGGGTGCCCCAAATCACCTCCCTGTCCTACCTGTGCCTTAGCACAGCTTCTAGAAGGATCTGTTCCATGATCTTCCCAGGCACAGAGGTGAGGTTGGCAAGTTGGTGGTTTCCAGGGTCCTCCTTTCTGCCATTTTTAAAGATGGGTACAACATTTCCCTTTTCCAGCCTCCAGTGACTTCCCCTGACTGCCATGAAATTTCAGGTATCATGGAAAGTGGCTTGACAGCTACATCAGTCAATTCCCCTAGGGCCCTGGGATACACCTCGTAGACTTACGTTCAGGTTCCTCAGGTGGTCATGATCCTGATCTGTTGCAGTGGGAGAGCCTTTGCTCCTCCAGTCCCTATCATGCTCTCCATCCACTTGAGAGCTGTGGGAAGAGAGGCTGCCAGTTGAGTACCTCAGCCTTCTCCCCATCCATTGTCACCAGGGTTTTTTCCATAGGTACGTTCTTGAATTTAGTCCCATGACAGTTATTTTCAAAGTACTCAAAACCCATATCACCACTGAGTGATGTGGTTTAGTCACCGAGTTTAGGGGTTACAGTGGTGGGTGGTGGGACTCAATGATCTTAAAGGTCTTTCCTAACCTTGATGGTTCTATGATTCTGTGTTGTTTCTGATTCCAGGAAAATGAAAAAGAGTTGGAAGAGGCTGAAGAGTATAAAGAAGCACGTTCCTTACTGGAGTCAGTGAAGCTGGAAGACTAGCAGTCTTCCAGTGCTCCCTTTATATGCATTAGCACGGGGTCCATTCCACACTTTCATTTGACTATGGCTCTACTCCTACTGTTGACTTGCTAAGGTTCCCTTTATGCAAACTGGCCTTTCTCTACCTGCAAGATGCATCAAACAAAGGATGTTCTGTAACATCAGTGTGTTCCATATTCAGGCAAAATAGAATCAACCTGGTTGGAAGGGTCATCAAGGATCGAGTCCAGCTCTCGTTGGTTACTAGACCATGGCACTAAATAGATAGGTTTCCAGTTCACTTCAGTTACAGGAAGCAAAAACAAAGCCCATTTAATGTAAGTGTTAATAATTAATACGCAGAACTTAATATGAACAGTTCAGGCTAAGAAACAAAGTTTGGTTGTGTGAGGAATGTGAGGGACCAGTAAATACTTAACAGCATCATAAAATGGTTTGGGTTGGAACAGACTTTAAAGATTCATCTTGTTACAACCCCTCTGACATGGGCTTTAGAAGCACCTTTTATCTGGAATAATTCTAAGCCATTTTAGTGTAACAGGCTGTACTGAAAGCGAAGATGGACTAAATGACCCTTCACAGTCACCCACCTGTTTTCTATGATGTAATTTTCCTCTAATTATATCAAGTACTCCTTGTTTATCTTTGAGCCCAAGGCAGAATTAAAAGCTGATTCCAAGTCTTTCTCAACTTGCCTAGGATTGATTCACACAGCCCAATTCACCCAGTTCCCATTGATCAAAATTCTGTTACTTTCCAAGAAACAGAATTTAGCAGGTGACTAGTAAAGAGAGTTCTGGACTGAATCTTTCCCTGAAAGTGAGTTTTTTTCCAAACAAAGCTCAAACCCAAGAACATGGAACACAACTCCTGGGTAGGTGAACAACACCTGGTCTGCCTGGAAGGCCATCAAAACATTCTGTACAAAAGTTGTGGTTCTTTCAGAGTAGCTTCTCTACAGCCAACTAAGCTCTGTTGATAAACAAGAAAGCTTTTTACATTAGTTTTTCTAGTTTGAAAGTGCTCTGGCATGTTCCTTAAAGGCAACACGAAGCACAGTGTACCTTTTGTGTGGTGCTATATTGAATACTCTTAATAAACTTTTCAATGATTTGCCTGACTTTGAGTAAACTGCTCTTTCAGTACCTCTGTTTGTCTACCTTAAGCACGTTGAGCGTAATAAGTCAGCTTCCCCATCACTCTTAAGCACTGCCCTAATATCAACACCAAAGGGTTTCTGATTGCAGATTGATCTGTGACTTCAGACCAGGGGTGAAACCTTTCGTGATACTGAGAGAACTTGTGTATCTTCTTACCAGCACTGTGTCTTAGGCACATGTAACTGCCAAGCAGGCACTGCCCAGTTCACAGCACAAATGAGCTGCACAAATGAGGAGAACATCTGTCTTTGAATATTCACTTCAGCCAATTTCTTCTGTGCATCTTCACTGGGAAAGGTGTTTGGAGGGTACAGAGCAGATCACACGTCTCAGCCTGCTGACTGCAGTCGGCCCAGCAGCAGCTCTGTGTTTGCAGCCACTGAGTGGAGTGTGGTGACTAAATGCTGAGCTGAAAAGGAGGTGTGGGGAAGTGCCAAGTCTGCTGGGTAGAGCAGGATTTTAAATCAAAATTACCATTTTCAGAAGAAAGAATGCACACTTCTGGAAGACAACCCCACAGGAAAAAATCACGTGCAGCTGCTGAGTACCACAAGAAATGCAGGTCAAGGTGAAAGGTAAACAGAGGTGTGACTACAGTGGCTGAAAAAAGTGTGATATGGCTTAAGTTGGAAGTTAAAGGCACATGGGGCTGAGTAGCTGCCACATAAACTCCAAGGAAAAGTTTCCTGGTGAAATAGTTTCTAGGGCAGAGTTGTTTCATGTTTGCCTAAATACTTCTCTGTCCAAGATATTTTCTAGATCCTATGATGAACCAATATGGTACTCTTCCCTCCAAAACCTGAGCATGTTCTGTAGCACATAAAACAGCCACCCTCACTGGTGAAAATCAAGGTATGTCCACATCTGGAAGTCCTTACTCTCTTGTCTCCACATGCCTGTGGAAGTGTCTGAGAGGACAGCAGCATGTTTTCAGGCTCCAACATGCTTTAAGAGAAGGAAAGAGTTAACTGTACACAGGTATTGTGGATTAAATGCTCAAAAAAAGAAAACCAAAAGGATGAACCACACAGAGCTGCTCTATTTCCTTGTGATAATGTACTCTTTTGGGAACTCACCTTCTACGTCTCGGGTGAAACCCTTCAGCTCTGAGCTGCATCAATCTTCTACACCAACACTTGGGTTGGGGGATAGGATTCAAGTCCTTGAGCTAACTCAAAATGATTCAGATCAAGGAAAATGCTTAGTAACTGGGCAGTACATTCCACCTTTTCCTGACAGATTGTGGTCCTCAGAATTCCACATCAGGTGTCTGCAAAGCCTCTTAAAATTGGGAAATGATCAAGAATTTACTACTCAAATTGAATGGTCTGATCACCCCACAAAAGGTGCAGTTCTGTTCAGCTGAGCTGCATGACAGAAGAGATGAAAGAGAAAGTATGTGTATTTCATATGTGGGTGATAAAAGGCTGTTCAGTATCTTCAAGGACAATATTAGAAGTCAAAGGGTTTCTGACAAACTGGAAAAGGTTTAAAAAAGCTACGTACATACTTACACAAGGGGGAAAAAAGGCAAAATTTGACCAGGCAGCAGCAATTTTTTACTGCACAAACACAGGGAAAGGGAAAAGCTACACAGAATTTGTGAAAGATACAAGAATTTTAGTGAGTTACATGCTTAGCTCAGAAGACATGGGCAACAACCCATTGTGTTAGAAAGGCTTCATCTAGAAGCACTGTCACAGAAGCTAAAACTATAGGGATGAGTAAATAAGATTCAGAAGAAAACAGTGAAAACTACTAAAAGGACTGGAAAAATGGTCTCTGCAAGAGGTGGAACAAATCCAGACATTTCAGCCTGGAAAATACTGAGGGTGGCAATGTGAATAGCCTTCAAGCATATACAAGGTTGTGGAGGAATGGAATAAACTTGGCAGAAAGAGCAAGATGTAATGAGCTTCAGTTACAATGAGGGGGGGAAAAAAAGTTGGAAGGGTTCCTCCCTCCTCAGGAAACAACACCACTAATGCAGCATCAAAAATACCTTAAAATAAAGTGACAAGTGGGAATTTGTGTTTATTTTGTGCATAAGCAACTTGTCCAGGGCAAAGACAAGAGGGCAGAAGTTTAAACTGAAGCTGAAGTCAGAGGGATGGAACTTGCAAGGCAAGAAGTGGACTGTGGGGCCTGCTGGAAGCAACTGGAAGCAGGAAATCCAGTGGGAAGTCTCACCCTTCATACGGATTCAAAGCATGATGACAAGCATGAGGGAAGGGAGTAGAAAACGTTGTTTATGGTCTAACCATCTTAAGAACTCCCATCTGATCTCTCGGAGTACCCACTCTGTGTAAGGACATAATGAACAGAAAACACCAAGTTGAACCATGGTGTTCTCTTCCATGTGCAGTTTTGGCTGTGCTCTGTTATTACCTGTAACAGAGGTCTCAAGATAAATCCTGATGATGAGCTTAGGATTTCAAAGGAGATGGCATGAGCGATGTAAAATTGCCACCTTCTTCCAGTTTTCTAGACACAAAATCAACCACAGTGAAGAAATCAGCTCTTGAACTTTGCAGATGACTTGCTAACATGTCCTAGGATCCAGCATTCATGGGTAAACATCTTTGGATCTCACCAGCATCCAAAATCTAGAACCACTCAACATGTTACATTACCTCTAGCAGGACGAAGAAAAGCTTCAACTTTACAACACTTTTGTTTTCATATTGTTCTGAAGTAACTGTAGCTGTTGCATGAGGTGGAAACTCAGTAACCCACAAGAAGAGCCTCAAGTAATAAGGTTACCAGAGGGTGAATAGGTTGAAGTTCAAAAAATAAGCACATTATTTATGTATCACTTACTGCTTGCTCACCATTCCAACAGAAGGAAATAAAATTTCCTCATCTTTCCTAACAATCCTGAGGCCTCCTCCTGTCCCTGCATGATTAATGGTAAATTTCACCACAGTTCTCCATAAGCAAGCAAAAACGCTACCTAATTGAAACAAGTAATTAATTTACACAGAGAGATGTGAGTGGGTAGATTAATTTACAAAAATAAAATTTAATTCCTCTGGATGTTCTTAGTGACTTGGCTTTCTGCTCTTTTACAGCTTCTGCACATTTCCAAGAGAGTAGGTTAAAAGTAAGTAAAAACCCCACTTCATTTCATAGAATCGTAGAATCACCTGGCTTGGAAAAGACCTCCAAGGTCAAGTCTACCCCTACCATGGTTACTAAACAATGGCACTAAGTGCCAC